CGGGGTATAAGAGGGGGTGGAGCTGGCACTGCAGCCGGATCCGGATGCGGCGCCGTGACCCGCTGGGAGACTGACGCGTCTGCAGGAGAGCGTGGATCGCTCCGGTGCGGTGAGGCGACCCGGGGCTGGGACGGAGGAAGGGCGGGTTTGGGACTGCCTTGAGACTGCAGACTGCGGAGGTCGGGACGTCCCTGCCCAGGAGCCTGGTGGCTAACCATGGTGACCCACGGTCCGATTGGGCAGGGTCCTGGAGGGCCTAGGGACCGAGTGCCCGTGGCATGGGACTTGGGGGACAGTCGTCACTTTGCCGCCATTCCTCTCAAAGGGCGCTAACCCTGGGTTCCCCTTTACCTGTCCAGCAGTGAGAGTGGCTGAAGATAAGCTCCAGCTCTGAAGAACCCCACCTGCCTAGAGGGGGACCTGGGACTTGTACCCCTAAAAACACTGTGATTTGTGTTGTGTGTAGGAACTGATGTTTATGTAAGGCAGACACAAAATTTGTTCATGTAAAAACAAATGGGGATTCTTTTTTGTTTGGACAAATAACCTTTAATTAATCCAAGCGTGGGTCTTAGGAAATTGAGATATCTTAAGCAGGCTTCGTATGGTAGAAACAGATACAATGATGCAAAGATGTTATTCTTTTGTTTAAATTAGGATGAGACATAAGATGAGAGTATTAACCAGTTTATTATAGACCCGGGAAAGCTATTGAGAGAGAAATAGAAGAACAGAACAGGACAGAGAGGCAGAGAGAGAAAAGCAGGGAAGTTGGAACTTTTAACATAATGTTATAGAATCCATTTATATATTAACTTTCTCATCAAGCATACTTCTTTACTAATAGACCCTCTTAACATTTGAAATTTTATTTTAGACTTTATTGGAAAGATGAAACCTGATGAAACGCCTATGTTTGACCCAAGTCTGCTTCAAGAAGTGGACTGGAGTCAGAATACAGCCACATTTTCTCCAGCCATTTCTCCAATGAATCCTGGAGAAGGCCTGGTTTTGAGGCCTCTCTGTACTGCCGACTTGAATAAAGGTACGGGCCCAACTTTAGTTTGTGAAAGCCCCTGAAATCGATGCTTGCTTTCTTCATAAGCATGATGGTAACTTAGAACAGCACTTGATGATTTTGTTCTTAAAATAACTGGAGCACTCTGTTGTAAAGGTGTATTATAATGGAGGCCAGATATTGCTATGATGTATTTAAAAATGCGTACAATAGTATTCCTTCCAAAAGGACATTATCATAAACAAAATAAAGTTATAATGTATAAACACACGAAGAGTTTTCTCCAAGAAGCAGATAGGCAGAAATAACAGGGTTTTTATTTAGGCCAATTTAATTATTATTTTTTGTTTTTCGAGACAGGGTTTCTCTGTGTAGCTTTGGAGTCTATCCTGGCACTCACTCTGGAGACCAGGCTGGCCTCGAACTCAGAGAGATCCGCCTGCCTCTGCCTCCCGAGTGCTGGGATTAAAGGTGTGCGCCACCAACATCTGGCTAATGTAATTCTTTAATATCTAAATTATCCAAAATAATTTCTGAAACTTTGGTAATGAAAATCAGCATTTAGCCGGGCATTGGTGGTGCACGCCTTTAATCCCAGCACTGGGGAGGCAGAGGCAGGCTGATCTCTGGGAGTTTGAGGCCAGCCTGGTCTCCAGAGCTACACAGAGAAACCCTGTCTCAAAAAACAAACAAAAATTTATAAAGTCGTTTCAACAGTGTTATATTAGTTACACATTAGCTTACAAATGATATTCTGTGGAGGTGAGAATCTTGCACTTGAAGTGTTTAAGAAGTACACGCTTGTTCTGTAATTATTGATACTAAGGTCTGCATTATTGTAAATTCTGTTTTAATCTTTTGCTTTTCTCTTGTCTTGAAATGTTTTAAAAATAGGTTTTTTTAAGGTACTGGGTCAGTTGACAGAGACTGGTGTCGTCAGCCCCGAGCAGTTCATGAGTAAGTACACAGAGTACCTTGTCTGAATAATCAGAACTGTTCAATACCTGCTCATTCAAAGAGCTGCAATTTAGGAACTAGTCATCCTCACTTAGAGCATCCAGATGTTTGTACAATAACTTGATTATTACTGGAGGACAATAAAAGGAGTTAATGTCCTTCTCTTGTAGTTATCTCCTTCTGTATGGTTATGTTAAACACAGAAATTTCATTACCAAATTAAACTTAAGAGTTTATGTATGTTCTTACTCTCCTTTTGTTCTTAATTAACTTGAAATTTTTGTTACTTTTATATTGTATTTTAAGGTTGGCAGGGATCTTAGAATTAGTCTAAACAGTCCCCTTCCTGGTTTGAGACATGAGAAAATAGGTTCCCAGAGAACTAGTCATTCCCAAGATCACAGTTAATCATTGGCAGGGAGAGCGGGAACCTTCTTTCTTTATCCAGTGTTCTAACAGCCTGTTCCCATTTTCACCAGCGCACTTCCTTTAGTAGGTAACTTCTCCAACCAGGCTGAGTGAAGGTTGGTCTTTACAGTTGTTGACTCTCCTTCATTGGATTTTTTTTTCCTACTTCAGACCTGTATAGAGTGAGACTTTGAAAATAAATAGTATCTGAGAGCTACTGAACTTGGCTTTTAACTCCTGGGTTTGCATACAGATCAGATTAGATGAAAAGTGTAGCTTTTCCAGCAATATAAAGTGCTAAACATTATTTTTGGGAACATATCTTTGCTTTTATTTGTTTAACTTTGGAAAAACTGCTTAAGTTGGGGATGTATCTGTGTCATCTTTGTAACATGCTTTCAAAGCAAACAAAGATCCTGTTTCTAAAAGAACAAATATGTAATCATGAAACATTGGAAAAACAAACGGAAAACTGTTGTCAAAATATTTTGAAACCAAGACTATGGATTGTGGATATAGTAGGCTCTTGTAAAAACTTGCAGTATTGTTCTTTGAGTGTTTTAAATGAGTGTAAATTGGTGGATATTGAAATTTTAACTAGTTTGTCACAAAAATGTCAACATGTACAATATATCTAATACAGTGTTCATCTAAAAGATCCCCGAGTCTTACTTTGCTAACAGATTTGTATGTGTCTGTTTCTGGACACAGAGGCAAGCTCCCCCTTAGGGTTACATCTCCATGCTGTAACAACAGATAACTTTAAAAGTGTGAATCACTCAGTGCTGATTGTTGGTATTTCAGCTCCTTGATATTTTCAAACGCATAGTAGTTGTAGAAGTTCAAACTAGCCAGGTATAGTGGCATGCACACTTTTAATCCCAAAGTTGGGAGGCAGAGGCAGCCGGATCTCTTGAGTTCAAGACTAGTCTAGTCTTCATAGTTTTAGGATAGCCAGAGTGATACAGTGACACCCTGTCTCAATAAACAAGCAAGCAAACAAACAAATAAAAAAGCTTGTGCTCACTCTACTTTATTTGTCTTAAAGTGGGGGTTGGAGAGAGGTTCACAGGTTAATAGCACTACTGGCTGCTCTTCCAGAGGTCCTGAGTTCAATTCCCAGCAACCACATGGTGGCTTACAACGATCTATAATGAGATCTGGTGCCCTCTTCTGGTGTGCAGACATACATGAAGGCAAAACACTATATATCTAATAAATGAATATTTATTTAGTTAGGTTTTTGAGACAGGGTTTCTCTGTGTAGCTTTGGAGCCTGTCCTGGCACTTGCTCTGTAGACCAGGCTGGCCTTGAACTCGCAGGGATCTGCTTGCCTCTGCCTCCCAAGTGCTGGGATTAAAGGTGTGGGCCATCATCACCCAACTGAATATTTTTTTTAAAGTGGAAAATAAAGCCCTGTGGCAATATAGCTCTAGTATTCAAATGAAGTCTGACAAGCCTGGTGCTTTACTTGAACTTAATAAAATAGAATGTCTACCACCTAACACTTTTTTGACATTTCCACAGAAACTTTTGAGCGTATGAAGAAGTCTGGGGATTACTATGTCACAGTTGTGGAAGATGTGACCCTAGGAGAAATTGTTGCTACAGCAACTCTGATAATAGAACATAAATTTATCCACTCATGTGCTAAGGTATGTGCTCACACCAATGCCTATGAATAAAGTGAACAGATGATCTCTAAGGAAACCACCTTGGGAGCTTCATTAGCAAAAGCAGTTTCCCCATGATTTTCCTTGCTGGAATTCCTCAACAGAAGACACTTTTCTCAAGTTTCTAAATTACAATCCAATGAAAATCAAAGATGGCTCAGGGGGTAAAGGTGCTCACCACCTAGCCTAACCACCCAAGTTCCATTCCTGGGACAGGACCCACATGGTGGAAGGAGAAAACTTCTATAAATAGTAATCTGACCTCCAGAGACCCAAGCCATTCACCCCCCTCCCCGCCCACACACACACGAACACAATCTCTGAATGTAGAAATGTACTCTGGCCGTGTGTGGTGGGGCATGGGGCACACCGTTAGTCCTAGCAGCACTTGGGAGGCAAAGGCAGGTGGATCTCTTTAGTTCAAGGCCAGCCTGGTCTACAGAGAATTCCAGGACAGCCAAGGCTACACAGAGAAACCCTGTCCCCCCAAACCATAAATAAACTAAATAAATGGTACTCTGTAAGTTATAGGTTTTGGTTTTTGCACTTGAAATTGGTAAATTGTTTTTAAGCAACAAGTTGGATATACTATGTTTACCAGATTATATTGTGGTGATTGGGATTGGATCTTTAAACAGAGCAGAGGTTTGGGTATAGCTGAAAAATGATGGAGGCACAGTTGGCTTTGTTTCCTCCATAATAAAGACTGTAATTGTAATTGTTACCAGCTGGCTTAGTGGAGAACAGGCTGGAGGCTCATCCTGTCCACTGTGATTGTTTGCAGAGAGGGAGAGTAGAAGACGTGGTTGTTAGTGATGATTGCAGAGGGAAGCAGCTCGGCAAACTGTGAGTAAGCACTCGGAACCTGTACAGCCTGCCCAGTTTGGTCTTTTGCCAAGAAACTTATCGCATAAGGTTTTCCTGATTTAAGTTATTTCTGATCTTTGTTTACTTTGAACTCATTCTCACTCTGTATCTTAAACTGAATTTAATGAAAATTAAGGTCATGTTAGTTTTCCCCAGAGTTTGAGAATTGAAAACCTATTCCATTTACAAGAGTAACAAGTAATTGAACTATGTTCTACCACTGAGTTGTGTCACTAGCAGCCCCCCTCCACACCATTCTGTTTTTCCAGACAGGTTTCTCTGTGTAGCCCTGGCTAACTTGCTTTATAGACCAGATTGATTTTAAACTCAGATTCTGGAGTAATGGAGAATAAGCTTGGCTTATGAAAAGTAACCTCTTTAGCTTAATATTAGCATTTCAGACTTGAGCAACTTAGAGTATCCAACATTTCTGTCAGATTAAAATCTGTATTGGTTTATTGCCAGGTTACAAGCAGAACTTGCATTTAAATATAATCTGAGTTTTAATGAGTCTGCACAATAAACAGACATCAAGTATGTATCAGTATCCTAGGTATTTGGAATACTTGACGATATGAACTATATCAGTTTTTACTATTCTAATCCATTAACTAGTATGCCTAAAATCTTCAGGATAGGAAGTCCCCTCCCCCACTCCACCCCCAATGATAAAAGGATTGTTTATTCAAACATGCAGCTGGATGTGATGGTGGTATCTACTATAAAACTGGCACACAGGAAGCTGAGTCAGGAAGATCACATCTAGTTCAAAGTCATAAGATCTGTCTAAATGTACACACAACAGGGGAAAATCACTCAGCACTCATTTCTTTAATCTCAAACAGTTAAATCACTTTTATATTTTTGGAACAGGGCTTCTCTATAGTAGCCCTGGCTGTCCTGGAACCCACTCTGTAGACCAGGCTGGTCTGAACTCAGTGATCTACCTTCTGGTGCCACCATTGCCCAGCTTAGATCACATATTTCAGGATTTTGATTCCTTGGGCTTTGTAAGATGGTTTCTGAATGATGTATCCACATATTATTCAGACTAATCTAGTTATCAGATCCACATTTTCATGAAAAGTAGCTTTTAAAATGATTAAAGCTTGGCATGGTGGCATGCCTTTAATCCCAGCTCTCAAGAGGCAGAGGCAGGCAAATCTCGGAGTTAACTTGGTCTACAAGGCCAGTTCCAGGCCAGCCATAGCTATATGAGACTGTCTCAAGAATATAGCTATTACCCATTTTATGTGAACATGTCAAGTGTGTAGTTGGAATAGACTTAGAACATAGGTACCTCACCTGCAGCCTTTCAGTGTTAAGATGGGAATTCAGGGCATTCTGCATGTTAGGTGAACCTATCACTGAGTTACATCCCTAGCCTCTGGGACAGGGGTTTGTCTTTTGATTTAAGGTCTCATGTTGCTACAGTAGAAGAAGACCTTCAATTCCAGACCCTCCTACTTCTACCTCTTGGGTACTCTGGTACAGGTGTGTCACCACAGCCAGCTAGAGGCCTTTCATAAAAATAATCCAGGCCATGTTTTCACAATTTGATAGTCATTAGTGTTAAAAAATGGCCTTTTTTTGGTTGTGTTTGGGTTCCCCAAATTTAGTATTGGGGATTGAACCTAGAGCTTCACACACTAGCTTGGCAAGCACTCCACTGCTTTCTCAGCCTTTGGTATTTTTAAAACTAAGTCTTATACTCTGAGCCTATGCTTGTCTCAAACATGCTGTGTAGTTCAGTTGGCCTTGCCTAAATTCAAAGCAATCCTCTTGAGTCTTTTTTAAATTATTTTTACCTGTGCACCACTTGTGTTCCCAGTGCCCTCAGAAGGCAGCATCAGGTGCCCTGAGACAGGAGTTACAGATGGTTGTGAGCCAGCTCTCTAGTCCTGAGTATTTTGTCTGCATGCATGTCTTTGTACCACTTGCATGTCTGGTGCCTGTGGAGGCCAGGAAGCCAAAAGAAGGCACAGATTACCTGGAAGTGGAGATACAGTTAGTAGCTATATGAGTACTGGGGATTGAACCACAGTCCTCTGGAAAATAACCCCTCTAGCCCCTCATAAATTCTTACAATCTTAGAAGGTTTAGAAACTGGTAGATGAGAGGGTGACTTGCAGTGTAAGCCTGAGTTTGATTCCCAGAGCCCATCTAAAGAAAAGAACTACACAAAATTGTCCCCCGACCTCCACTCGTGGACACACTTGTGTGCCGCCTCCCATAATAAAGAGGTGTAAGCCAAGTTAGTTATTAATAGGCTGGGGACTGTTTGAAGCAAAATAAAAATGCTTCAGTAATTGAAATGCTTACCAATACTTAATAAATACTATTTTATTTGTATATAACACTAATCTGTATCATCATCAAGGCCCATTTTGGTTATACTGTCTCCCATACTTCTCTTTTGAAATTTTAGGTTGTTATCAACTCTCACTTTGCTAAGCAAGAAGCTTAACTGTTACAAAATCACCCTTGAATGTCTACCACAAAACGTTGGCTTCTACCAAAAGTTTGGCTATACAGTGTCTGAAGAAAATTACATGTGTCGGAGGTTCCTAAAGTAAAGACAACCACCAAGACAATGAATGCTCCAAGGCTTACTGTTCATTTTTGTTGCTGCAACCCAGTGAGCTCCATACCTACTAGACTGAAAAACTGCTGTAGTATGCAAGTATAAGCGACACAAGAGCATGCCTGTGGCTGCTGGGACTTGCTCTGAGTTAAGAGTACAAATGATCATAAAGGGGATGATTTTTAACCAAAGGAATATATTTTCAACTTGAATCTTTTCTTGCATTGTATTTTTCTAAAGTTTGTCTTCATTTCTTGGTAGGCAAGAGTATGGGTAGTAAAGAGTTACATCTGCTCTGTGCTGCTCATTTTTAAATATATGTATATATATTAAATAAGGCTGTTTTTTATCACATAAAATTATTTTGTTTCATCTCAATAGACTTAAGGGTGCAACATTTCTCACATTACAGGGAGTTAGACACATCTGTTATAACCAGATAGATATTTGCACATCTAAACATTGTTGATCCTAATACTGCACACAAAGTGGACAATCTTTTAAACTATTTTACTAAGTGTTCGTATACTTCTATGCAGACACTGCCCCACCTGTCTCATCCAAGGGCAGACCTAGAGACCTAGGGTTCTTTTCATCAGTGAGTGAGCAGCTCTCAGTGGAGGTACTTTTACCCTGGTTTCTTTATCATGGGCACCTGCATCTCAAAATTCGTGGTACTGCCTTTGTTATACATCCTTAAAACAGCTTTTCTATTCAATGTGATTATAATGGTACTATTACTCTGATCATTGTCCTGTTTTATTTATTTATTTTAATGATTTTGTAAAGTAAAATTACATTGTTAACAATGGTTCTAATCTTTTGCATTCCATGTTACTACATTAAACTTGTTTATATGACTAGTCCTCTGTTTTCCTTGTTGAGACACAGTGATCTGTAACCCAGGCTAGCAGGAACTCACAATGTAGTAGATGTACCTTGAACTCCCCATGCACATTCCAAGAGCTGGTATTACAGGCATGCACCACACCATGATCAGCTTGAGTCTTTTAGATTACATGGCTCACAGCAGCCTAGTTTTATGTATTTTGGGGGTCATTTCAATTGGTTTGGGTTACCCTCTAATTATTAGGTTGACTTTCCAAAATAGAAACTTTTACTGCATGGTGACAGACTTTATCTGACAGTTCAGTTAACAGTTTTGTCTTTAGAATCCTGTAACCTTGGCAGGGCTTCATTAAGTTTTACCCATGCTAAATTAAACTCTGGAGCAAAACCACCTACTATGTTAGTATTTCAAGAATCCCATGGAGTTTTGAGACAGGGTTTCTCTGTATTGTTTTGGAGCCTATCCTGGAACTCGCTCTGTAGGCCAGGCTGGGATTAAAGGCGTGATCCAACAATGCCTGGCTTGAGATCTTTTAAATTCCCCTTTAGGCAAACAGTTGTATGCTAAATATTCACCCTTCCTAGTCTGCGGGAGTAAAGCTGGGTTACTTTTATCTAGAAGGCAAAGAAGTTTTGAGGCATAAGGAGTACGAATGAGTTTCTCAATCATTTGTTGAGGTACAATGGCACAACAGTTTTAATACAACCACCAGTCTTCACAAAATAATTTTAATACTTTGTGCCCCGGCTAGCAGCATCTTGCATCTGTGACATTCCTATACATACAGAAGCATTTTGTCTGAATACAAATGTTAAAAGCAGAGTAACGTAAGCAATTGTCTATACACAGGTAAACAGACACTGTATGTTATTTTTCTTGAATCATTTTTTTGCTGCATAGTAAATTGCAATTACATGTCAGTATGTTACTGATTGAGAAAACACTTTGAGCTGTGAGGTATGGCAGCTCCCTGTGAGAGAGCCTAACATGTAAACCTGAATATTTTGAGTGATTTTTTTTTTTTTTGTTAGCTGCCATGAATGGGAAAGACAAAAAATATCCAGCACTCAAGACTCTAGAAACTTATTTTCCTAATTAAAAAAATAAATAAAATCCTTGAGAAAGTCTCTGCTATTTCCTATCATTTCCTTATTGGAGTGTTGTTGAATGGACAAAGATAACGTAAATACTGAAGTGAAGCTATGCTTTAGGATTATAGATTAAACCAGTTATTTAAAAAAAAATTCCGTCAGGTAACTGCTCATTTACTTTACATCAAGTTGAGATCCTAATATATACATCTCAACTTCATAATTCAAGATTGCACTTAAATACTTGTAATTAATCTGAATTACCATAGTAATTAAACATTTAGGAACTTTATGTTTTCTTACAAAGGACATGCTTAGCATTTTCTGACATAACTTCTAGACTCAGATTAAGCACAACCCCACACCCTGCAAATGAATATTCTGCTCTACAAGTGGTTGAAAAGTTGGTAGCAAAGTCATCACACTTGAACATTCCTATCACAGTTGGTACAAGTCAACACCTAATAGACAAGAAATTAACATGAACCAGTTAAACTAAGAGACGACCCCCCAAGATTTTCAGTATCTGTCTCAAAACTTTCAAAATGTGAAGTAATGAAGTTCCCTATGTTTTGATAAAAACTTACTTTTAATTCTGAACCCAGATTACATATTTAATGTTGAAGCTGGGTGGATATTCATACATCATTCCATTTCCTTAGAGAATAAGACATGATTGGTTAAGTTTATCATAGTTGACTGATAAAAAACACCACTGGGAATGAAACCTAAGACAGCTACTTAGTAAATACAGTGGAAAAAAAAACAAAAAACAACTTGCAGGCTTCTTATGAAAGAACAAACCTTAAACCTTATCTGTTCACATCAACTGTGCTCAACATGATGGCAGTCCCTAGTGTCCGAGACTGTCTCCAGTATATCATGCTGGGTAGGCACTTTACGTGAGAACATAAAAAGACTGGTTAGAAAAATGGAAAATTACCAGCTATAAATGACTATCAACCTACTTTATATTTTTGGCTAGACTCCTAAAGAGTATGTATTTTTAAAGAAACTTAATCGTAGACTATGAGTTGACTCCAAGAGAGATCTTTGTTGACCTGTCCAGTGATAATGTATACAGGATTTGTAATCTTTACTAGCCCACCACACCAGTGACATGATAGAATAGTGGATCACAATGCTAGTTTTAGGGTGGAAAGGTAGGAGATGGGATGAGAAGTCCAAAGAAGAATTAACAGTAATTCTGGTTTCTATTTGGGCTCCCACTGTGCAGGACAAAGAGCCTTCTCTCTACTGTTATGCCATAAGGTGGAGGGCAAAGCAAGTAACTGAGTATAACATGCTACCTCACACAGTCCCTCATGGTACCCTGGAAATGTACAGATACCATTCCCAACAGTAAAGCACCTTGAGAGAGGATTGAGAAATGTGAACTATAAAGGAGCTGTGTTTGTGCTACCCTAAAGTCATCAAATACAAAAAGTTAAAAACACTCCTCTCTTCTGCACATCACACTTAAAATAGCAAAGTTTTTTTGTTTTTGTTTTTTTGTTTTTTTTTTTTAAGAACAACTTTTGTACATATAGATAAAAACATGGAAAACCAAAGAGCCATAAAGTGACTTTGCTAATGCAAATTATGGAATAAATTTGAACTAATTTAAGAAGTTAAAACTGTAATTTACAATACCCTGAAGCCACCCAAAAATTACTTTATCCAATGAATCTTCAAAGCAAAGCTGTCAGCTGAACAACCTCACAGAAGCAAGACAACATGAAATGAAGAAAATGTCTCATATTATTCCAAAAAATTTACATTCTTCAAGCTTCACAGATTCAGTTTAATTTATGGTTTAAAAACAAAAAAAAAATTACAGAAAATGTTAATAGCTTTTCACTGCTCTATGTACTAATTTAGAGGTCATGAGGATTTAATTGTTGGTTGATACAAGGCACTTTTCTGTTGGGGGTTTCATACTGAAGAAACAGTGCTACATTGGTTTGGTTTCTTAAAAGAGTCTACTTTGAACCATTCTGGACTAAGATAAAAAGGGCCAGGCAACTCTGAAAAGACCAAGTCAACATTTGGCTTAAACAAACAGCAAAAAGAAAAGACAGGTGGAAATATAACACTATCCTTATTTTTGAGCATCTGGTTCTAGAAAGTGAGACCTTTTTGATCATTACAACTCTTTTTTTTGTTTAGAATGAGGAAGGCAATTGGAAAGGAAGTGCTAATTGGATTAAATTAGTAAAGTATTATAGTTGGCTAAAGTCATGATTTAAAACTAAGGGACTAAGAAGTTAAAAAAATAAAATGGTTAAGTTACTGAATTGTATTAAAAATGTGAAAGAGTTCTACATTTTGTTAATGTTTCTGGTAAGAGACTCCATCAGAAAACTGAACTGTAAAATTACTTTAAGTGCAATATATATGACACAAAATGAGTTTTTAGGAAACATTAGGAAATTTGTTATAAATTATCCAAAATTTATAAACAAATCCCCCTAACTTGCATTTTGCTTAAAGTAATAACTTCATATCATACAAATAAACTTCAAGTATGAAAAGTGCATTATTGCAATAATACCTCTTTGCAAAGTCCAAAATTCTTGGTTTATGATAAAACCATAAAGTGTTTTTTTTTTTTTTTTTAAGTAAATCCATTACCCATCAGCGCCATCTACTGTAGAAGTCCACCATCTTAAAGTGTTGCTCAACAAGTTGCAGAGAAACATGTCTGGAAGCAACATATAATTGAAAAGAAACTATTTGTGTTTTTCCCACTTTACATTATTACTACGATTTTCTCCTTTTCAAATAGAAATTCATATCCATGTAACAGTTCTCAGAGGTCAGCCATTCTGTGCAGTTGCCACTTGCATGTTTCCAAAATCATCCTCTTCTTCATGTGTTCTCTTCAAACTACCTAAAGGTCATTGATATAAAAGTGAAAGCTTACATAAATTGATGTTAAAATACTACAGGCAGCAAAAATCTATTCTTCCACTAATTGATATTATACAAGTGTTATGAAAATTTCATGATTGAATTCACAGCAAACACTTTAGAGTAAATTCTTTTTTCCCCCAAGACAGGGTTTCTTTGTGTAGCTTTGGAGCCTATCCTGGAACCCACTCTGTAGACCAGGCTGGCCTCGAACTCAGAGATTTGCCTGCCTTTGCCTTCCAAGTGCTAGGATTAAGGGGTGTGCCACCAACGCCTGGCTTACAGTAAATTCTTTATGTTGCATCATGAAATAAAGTTACTTGGGTAACTTAATGTCTTAGGTAGTGAACATAATAAACATTAGGTTTTATTTTGGTTTGGTTTGGTTTTTCGAGACAGGGTTTCTCTGTGTAGCTTTGGAGCTTATCCTGGCACTCGCTCTGGAGACCAGGCTGGCCTCGAACTCACAGAGATCCACTGGCCTCTGCCTCCTGAGTGCTGGGATTAAATGTGTGCGCCACCAATGCCCGGAAATAAACATTAGTTTTAAAATAGCATGAAAAGTAAAACTTCAAGAGTCAGTGGTACACTAAATCTGGTTACCACCAACTTTATGCTTTTTAGGCAACATAAACATGTCATAGAACACCACATCTAGTAGGTGAGTATGTTTGTATGATTTTTAGATACAGTTTTTCTGTTCACACAGATCCTGTTATGATGAACAGCTGAAAATATTTTTCTGCTAAAGCTGTAGCTTTATCACCCAGATCTATGGGTTAGGAACAAAGAAAATATATAACAGATTAAGAGATCTGATTTATTCCTTACATCAGAGTTAACTCTACAAAAACATCCCACAAAGAATCAGGATTATCTTTATGTGCCTGTAGCTACATTCAGAAAGGGGTCTTATGGAGGGGAACCTGAAGAACAGTTAAAATGGCAGTCGTCTGTGCTCTGTGACTAGCAACAGCTTAGCTGTAGAGTTAGAATTGTGCTAAGTCACAATATAATTCAAATTTCAAATTCTAACCAAGTTATTGCTTCAATAGAAGAGTAATAAAGATGTTAGTACCAACAGTAACAGTAGAAAGAAACAGTGTAAAGAAACTCCTCAAGGCCAAATATAGGTGATAAGAGTTTTAGGTTCAGTGAAGCACTTCCCCAGGACTTCATAACTGGTGGTTGCAGAAGAGTGCACTAACCCTGACTTATTTGAGAGGGCATCTAAGTTATGTTTAAGAATAGAGAAGATGGGAGCTAGAGAGATGGCTCAATGGTTAAGAGCACTAGCTGCTCTTCCAGAGGACACAGGTTCAATTCCCAGCACTCACATGGCAGCTTACAACTGTCTAACTCCAGTTCCAGTGGATCTGATATCTTCACACCAATGCACATAAAGTTAAATAAATTAAAGCCGGGTAGTGGTGGCAAACATCTTTAATCCCAACACTCAGGAGGCAGAGGCAGGCGGCTCTCTCTGAGTTTGTTCCTGGAACAAGAGCTAGTTCCAGGACAGCCTCCAAAGCTACACAGAGAAACCCTGTCTCGAAAAACCAAAAACCAAAAAAAAAAAAAAAAATGACCACAATGTACAGAATATATCAGTATTAATATGGTTAAGGGGCTGTGTTGCTCTAACTAGCCTTTGTTTAAAGTACTATTTAGAAGGAAGTGTGCTTTAAAGATTCTGGCAAACATTATAGTGTTTAAAAAATGATTAGAGAGAGGGTCAAGATTAAAGAGTCAAGGATAACAGGGGAAGCTGAGCACAAGAACGGACCATGTGGCCTGAATGTTGTGTTCTGGACTTGGGCTTTAAATGCCAGCTCAACAGTAGGCACATAACCTGTTCTAATCTAAGAACTGTTAAAAATGAATAGCAAGAACTTGGAAGATGAAAATTTGTGAGTTTGCTTAGACTGTTAACTAGGAAATAAGTAGATTTGAGTGATTCTCGCGTTCACAGTAGAGTAGTTGGGTATGGTGGCACACACCTTTAATTCAAGCACTTGGAAGCAGAGGCAGTTTCTCTCCTATACCATGCGGGTCCAGGATATCAGACAGGTTGTCAGGTTCAGTAGCAAGCACTTTAAGCCACTGAGCCATTTCACCAGGTAAGTTTCAGGTCAGCCTGGTCTACATAGCAGTCCTGTGACAGCCAGTTCGACACAGTGAGACCCAATTTCAAAACAATCACTGAGTAGGAGGGATGGCTTAGCAATTAAGAATACTGGCTGCTCTTGCAGAAGACCTAGGTCTGGTTCCTAGTATTTATTTGGTGGATTACACCAACCTATATATAACTTCAGTTCCAGGGATATCTGCTGCCACCTTCTGATCTCTTCAGAAACCAGGCATGCACATGGTGCATGTAGGTACATACATACAGGCAAAACACTCATACACATAAAATAAAAATAAAGCTTAAAAACAACAAAAACTCAAAATAGTAGAAGTGAAAGATTGAGGTATCTCAAGTTAGTTACACTGTTGAACTTGAAACACAGTTTTATGTATAATCTTTTTTTTTTTTTTTTTTTCATTTTGTTCTGAGGCAAAATATCTTCCTACCTTCATCACCTAGTGCGGGATTATAGGCATATGCCACTACACCTAGCAATCAAACTTTTAGTATCATCCAAGTTATCCAGACTGTATTTATTTATTTAGGTTTTGAACACAGGGTTTCTTTGTGTAGCACTGGAACTAATTCTGTAGACCAGACTGTCCTCAAATGCACAGAGAGATCCACCTGCCTTTGCCGCCTGAGTGCTGAGATTAAAGGTGTGCACCACCACCGCTTGGCCTATTTATTTTAATCTTTACAACAGACTGAAAAATTAAACCAATATTTAAGTGGCTATAATAATTGGCTATGCATTATAGTTTATGTATATCAGAGGTACATTTACTGTTTATTCACTAGACAGCTAATCCTTTTGAAACCGTTCAACTAGTTTTTGGTTTTTAGTTTTTGTAAAGATTTATTTATCATGTATACAGTGTTGTCTGCTAGTATGCCTGCAGGTGAGAAGAGGGCTCCAGATCTCATTACAGGTACTTGTGAGCTACCAAGTAGTTGGTGGGAATTGAACTCAGGACCTCTGGAAGATCATTCAGTGCCGTTAACTGCTAAGTCATCTCTGGAGCCCTGTTTAAACTAGTTTATTCCAAATTTTTAAACAACTTAGATTGCTTAGTAGTACGTGTAATGTGTAACAGATTCTTCTTTTCTACTTCCCCCACTATTTCCTTTCTTTTCAATTTTCCAAAAGAAAACACCCTTACCTGTGGTACCAGAATGAACAGTTAAGGATCTTTCTATCTGGAGTGGTGACATCATCTGTATTGTTAATTTTGCTAAGTAGATGGCTTCATATTCCTAAAATTAAAAAAAAAAGTTTTTTAATTAGTTCAGATACACATACTAGCTCTAGCTCTTGTAGACCAGGCTGGTCTCGAACTCACAGAGATCTGCCTGCCTCTGCCTCCCAAGTGCTCGGATTAAAGGCGTGCGCCACCACTGCCTGGCTCACATTTATTTTCTTAAATATCTAAAACAATGACTAATGTAGACATTTGTATTCTTAGTTTACAGCCAAGGGCTGGTACCATATTCTTGCAAAAGGACTGAAGATTCAGTTCCTATCTGGTAACTTGTCAGTTACTGATAATTAGAAATTAAGTATTGCCAATCACTGCCAGACAGTATGCATCTTCTGTCACTGGGGCATTAGCTATAATGGTCTAATTCTATGTTAAAATAGTATAAAGGACAGAGCGACCTAAAACTTTAATGTAATCTTATTAAGTGGTTCTAAGAATCAAAACCAAAATTCTCTTTTCCCAGTTTTTTTCTGAACAAACTGCAATCATGACTATCTTCCCCATCCCATAGGGACTTCCAATTTTTTGAAATAGGGGATCACTCCTTCCTTTTGCAGTCTTTGCCTAACATCTCTGGAACCAGAACACCTGGATCTGCTTGGTAGCCATCTTTTTTGCTAGCTTTATTTATTCATCCCCGCACGCCTGAATGCTGTACTTTCTGCTTTTGAAATAGTTTTTGTTTGTTTGTTTTGGAGGCACAATCTCAAAGAAACCAAGCTGGCTTCCACTGTGTCATTTAGTCAAGACTGGCCTTGATCTTCCTTTCTCCTTCCTCTGTAACAATGATGACTATCTTGGAATTGTTCAATCAAAAGGCAGATTCATCTTTATCCCCACCCCCTCAGAACTTATATCCATCAAGTATCAAGTTCTGTCAGCTAGCAATGCTTTCAAATAAACCCTGTACCTAGTCTCTTTTCACTCTGCTACCACTTTTGTTTAAACCAGTCTTTTTTTCATTTATTTTTCTTGTTTGTATGCATGTGCACATGGGGGCATGCCTGCTACAGCACACACATGGAGGAAAGAGTGCAGAAGTGCAGAGCTGGTTCTCTTTTACCTTTACAGGGATTCCAGGGATTAGAATTATATCCTTACATTTGTACTGTCAGGTGGCAAGTGCCTTTACTCACTAAACCATCTCACCAGCTCCCAGTGTTCTCTTTTGACTTCTCTATCTTTTAAACGGGTCTACTTGCTTCTGGCAGCTGCCCTCAATTTTCTCCACAGTCTGCACTAAAGATAGTAGCCACAATGACCTCATAAGAAACCACTCCTCCACCTGAGTGTCAGCTATGGCAGGAAGGTTCCTACCAGCATCACCACAAACCCCAAAGTAACGACTTGTGGGGGCTGAGAGATAGCTCAGCAATTAGGAGCACTGCCCGTTCTTTCAGAGGACCCGGGGTTCAGTTCTTAGCACCAATGCTGTGGCTCACAGCCACCTGTAACCCAGTCCCAAGGCATTCTAAGGCACCAGGCACATACTTGCAACATAGAAAAATATACAAAACAAACAAAATCCCACCAAGAGTAACACACTGCACCGAAATGGTATGGTGACTCCAAGGGCATTATGTAATAAGATAGATGTAAACATTCTGTGACCAATGGCTGTGCATTTCAAAAATATGTTCAATATGTCTCACTAACAAATTTATTTAAATGTTTAATTTCTCTATATAATTATTTTATACTATATGCATATATAGTATTATATATATAATTTTTCCAGAGAGTCTTGCTATGCAGCTCTGGACAGCCTGAACTTACTATGTAGACCAGGCTGACCTTGAACCTGCAGTGATCCTCCTGTCTCTGTTTCCTAAATGGGATTATTGCATAGGACACCACACTTGATTTCTTCAAGATATATTATTAAATAAAAGGACTTACTTTACATCTGATTCTTACATACTGCTAAATTTTGATTTTGTTTCTCATATTATATTCTTTTTCAAGTACAAAAATATGCTGTAAAATGAATGTTTTCATACAAGTCAAAAAAAAAAAAAAAAAAAAAAAAAAAGAGAAAGAGCAAAGAAGCTTATATGTGTCAGGCTCAGCAAGACCGGAGATACACCAGGAGGTGGTGGCGCAAGCCTTTAATCCCAGCTCTTGGGATGCAGAGGCAGGTGGATCTCTGGTCTACAGATTGGTTCCAGAACAGCCAGGGCTACCCAGAGGACTGAGGAGATGGCTTAGTAGGTTAGGGTGCTTATAAGCAAAGAACCAAATTGTCCAGAAAATTTCAAAATTAAAGGTAGTAACTACATGCTAAGTATATCAGCTTTTTCTTCTGTATTAGGGTTTGCTTGTTTGTTTTGTGGGGATCCTCTTACCTTATATTTAATAACGTATGTTTAGCCCATTTTCTTGGTAACTGCAATTGCAGCCCAGGCTTGCCTAGAATTCATGACAATCTTCCTGCCTTTAGTCTCTTGAGTACTAGGATTACAGACATGAGCCACCAGGGCCAGTTTAAGAGAAAAATACTTTTAGGAGCTGGAGAGAAGGCTCAGAGGTTAAGAGCACTAGCTGTTCTTCCAGATATCCTGAGTTCAATTCCCAGCAACCACATGGTGGCTCACAATCATATGTAATGAGATCTGATGTCCTCTTCTGGCATGCAGGCAGAGCACAGTATATATAATAAATAAATCTAAAAAAAAATATTTTTAAGGGCTGGGTGAAGTGGTACATGCTTTTAATCCCAGCTCAGAAGGCAGAGGCAGGAAGATCTGTGAGTTTGAGGATAGCCAGGAATACATATTAGAAAGAACCTATCTCCAAAAAACTCAAACCAAAAACAACAACAAAAAAAATTAAATAAAGAAGCAAATTGGAGGGCTGGAGAGATGGCTCAGAGATTAAGAGCACTGGCTGCTCTTCCAGAGGTCCTGAGTTCAGTTCCCAGCAACCAAATGGCGGCTCACAACCACCCGTTATGAGATCTGGTGCCCTCTTCTGGTGTGCAGATATACATGGAAGCAGAATGTTGTATACATAATAAATAAAATCTTAAAAAAAAAAGCAAACTGGAATAATCATCAGTTTAGTCAGATTATAGTAAGATCAAGTATTTACAAAGTAAATTCTACACCTAAGATGCATAAACAAGTCATTTTAATCTTTAAAGACAGTGGATATATGAGTTCATTACCTGAAGCTGGTGGACAAAACCAGCATTAGGATTAATACAAAATCTCCTTTCTTGGACATAAGCAAACGCATCTCTGAAAACACAGAAAGAAAAATGAATGTAAGGAAACTATTTTATGGAATAATCTAATTTTTTCCCCATTAAAAGTGTTGAATCCCCAGAAACTATTAACAGACAGTTGTAAGCCACCATATAGTGCTAGGTACTGAACCCAGGTCCTCAGCCATTTCTTTCTTTTTTTTTTTTAAGGTTTATTTATTTATTATATATATAGTGTTCTGTCTGCATGTACCTCTGCAGGCTAGAAGAGGGCACCAGATCTTATTACAGAAGGTTGTGAACCATCATGTGGTTGCTGGGAATTGAACTAAGGACCTCTGAAAGACCAGCTAGTGTTTTTAACCACTGAGACATCTCTCCAGCCCATCCTCAGTCATTTCTCTAGCCCAAAGAGGTAAATAAATAATACAGTTATTAAATATGGACAGGATTTCTAGCTTTCATAAGACTAAGTAAGTTTGGGTTTTGTTATGAAGGTCCTAAATCTTACTCTCTATGAAAAGTCTATGTACTTTGAATGTAAAAGATGGTATGAAAAACCATGCTGATTTATAAACAGGTGCTACAGACAATTTCTAATTAATTTTTCATTCAGTTCTTAACAAAACGGTGTGGCTTAAGTTTCTTTTCTTAGACACAGTCTCAATTTGTAGCCTTGAATGGGCAGCCCAGGCTTTGGCTTAAATTTACAGTAATCCTTCTACTTTAGTCTTCTGAGTATTTTGATTATAGGCACATTCTACCACACCTACCTAGTATATACATCAACTGAAATGAAGTAAACACCAAAATTTGTATCCAGACTTTTAACTAATTCCCTACTGGCAAGTAGTTTTCCAGTTTTACCTAGTCAATTATGATTACGTTTTTTTATAAAGATTTTATTTATTTATTATGTATACAACATTCTGCTTCCATGTATATCTGCATACCAGAAGAGGGCACCAGATCTCATAACTGATGGTTGTGAGCCACCATGTGGTTGCTGGGAATTGAACTCAGGACCTCTGGAAGAGCAGGCAGTGCTCTTAACCTCTGAGCCATCTCTCCAGCCCATGATTACATTTTTTAAAAAAAGAATTTTAAGGCTTAAATTTCCAACTAAGCCGGGTGTTGGTGGCACATGCCTTTAATCCCAGCACTCGGGAGGCAGTGGCAGGAGGATCTCTGTGAGTTTGAGGCCAGCCTGGTCTCCAGAGCAAGTGCCAGGATAGGCTCCAAAGCTACACAGAGAAACCCTGTCTTGAAAAACAAAATAAAAAAATCCCAACTATTTCTATTAAGTCCATTTAAGTGACTGTGAAGTGCTACTAGATTTGAGTGTGCTTACTTACCTGTACTTCATCCCAAATGTTTCCATGATGTATGCAATAACGAAGGCAGCACTGAAGATAGAGAAACAATTAGAAAATATAACTCATAACTAAACACAAGAGACAAAGATTGTCTACCTTCATACCTTCTGGAGATGCCTGCATTCCCATGGACAAGAACTTTTCCTGAAAAGGTTTAAAAAACAGTTACTTATCTGAAAATACCACAGTTCAGACATAAAATATACTAAAACCACATTATCAGGTTGCAGTGAGTCTTCCTTAGATATTTTAAATCATGTACATGCCACTTAGCTATTAATTTTCAAGTCTTTATTTTAATTATGTGGGGAATACAACAGATTGAGAGAAATTGAAAGTAGTTCATTGGAAAAAATTTAAAAAGTATAACAGATAAAGTAAGCAGCTGGGAAACACTGAAAATTGTCTACCATACAAAAAATAGAACTTCACTATCCTACATTTAGAAAAACTATAAACTGAAAGATCACTGCAACAAAATAATCTCCTAAAAATAAAACAAAACACTATAGCTTGGAGAAATGGTTCTGTAGTTAAGAGCATTGTGTCTCTTGCAGAAGACCAGGTTTGAGTCTCCACAACCACATGGCAGCTTACAACTGTCTGTACTCCAGTGACCTCTTCTGGCCTCTGCAGACACCTCTGTCGCACATGTTTTTGTAGGCAAAAATTAAATAAATAAATAAATAAATAAATAAATAAATAAAAGAAGTAAATCTTTAGTGACAGAAAAAAATATTTACCTCCATTTTGTAAGCTTCCATCAATAAACTCTTTAGTCTGAGGACAAGAGACAGTTATGTTACAATGTTACAGTAAAACATGTAGAGTAAGATAAAGATACAATAGAGTAAAACAAAAAAGTTCAGCCTGTTGCTCTCAACACCTAATCTTTAAAAATCAAAACTCCTGGGCTGGTAAGATGGCTCAGCAGGTAAAGGCACCTACCATCAAGCCTGAATACCCGAGTTCTATCCTAGGACTCATGGTGGAGAGAACAGACTCCTAAAAACTGTCCTCTGATCTTCCTATGTACACCATGACACACTCAATGGTGTTCATGCTTGAACACAGGCACATAAAATGTAATACAACTAAAAAAAACCCAAAAAAACAAAACCTTAGGGAGGGGGCTAGAGAGATGGCTATCTGGTTAAGAGCACTTGCTGCTCACTGCCCATGCTGAAGACCAGGGCTCAATTCCCAGAACCCATATTGACTCATAACTCCAGTTCTAGGGGGTCCAATGCTTTCTGACTTGAGGGCTTTTGCACACATATGGTACACACAAGTACCATATTCAGTATATTCAGGCAACACATATAAATATAAAAATAAAAATAAAAACTTGGTGATACTTTAAAGTTTAAGTACTTCACTTTCTTTTTAAAGTAAACGTAAACTTTTTTCCAGTCATAATGAAGTAAAAGTAGTTTTAGAATCTAAATACGTCTAAATCATAAATTTTAAGTGATATTAAAATACTGATACCTACCATAGGGAAAAAGCGTATTATGTTTTCAACTGGATTATCTGCAATATCCAAAACTAAGTATCTGTAAACAAAATATTTATAGTAAGTATACTCAGACAAATCACACAAAAATGATGTTTTAAAACCAAAATAACATCCTATCTCTTTATTATAAAAGATAAATTATCATCCTCAATTATATTTCTATTGATCTTCCATGCAAGCAACTCATGTATATGATATCTGTGTATTGACAGTTTGACCTTCCTTTTTTTTTTTTTTTTTTTTTTAAGTATTTTATGTGCATTGGTGTTTTGCCATGGGTGTCTGGTCCCCTGGAACTGGAATTACAGTTGTGAGTTGCCATGTGGGAGCTGGGAATTGAACCTAGGTTCTCTGGAAGAGGAGTCAGTGCTCTAAGCCATCTTTCCACTGTCCAGTTTGACTTTTTTGTTTTGTTTTTGTTTTTCAAGACAGGGTTTCTCTGTGTAGCTTTGGAGCCTATCCTGGCACTCGCTCTGGAGACCAGGCTGGCCTCCAACTCACAGAGATCCGCCTGCCTCTGCCTCCCGAGTGCTGGGATTAAAGGCATGCGCCACCAACGCCCAGCTCCAGTTTGACTTTTTAAGATATACTTTACTCTGTGAGCTCCACTTCCCTATATAACTTTAATATGTGAAGATCTGTAATTATTTTTAGTATTCTATTAGTTCTTTGAGAATTTCATACATGCATACAGTATATTTTAAGTATATTCATTTCCCAGTCCCCCTCCTACTCCTCCCAATTAGAGACTCCACATCCTCCTCCCAAACTTTATACCCTTTAAAAAAAAAAGATTATTTCTTAACCCTCACCCCCACCCCTTTTCATTTTCTTTTCTCCCTATGTAGCCCTGGCTGTCCTGGAACTTTGCTTTCCCAGTACTGGGATTAAAGACATGTGCCACTATGCCTGGTCTGATAATTTGGGGGTGGGGGGTGGGGGGGTTGGTTTTTGAGACAGGGTTTCTCTGTGGCTTTAGAGGCTGTCCTGGAACTAGCTCTTGTAGCCCGGGTTGGTCCCGACCCCCCAGGGATCCGCCTGCCTCTGCCTCCTGAGTGCTGAGACTAAAGGCGTGCACCACCACTACCCAGCATGTATATATGGTACATGTGTGTCTGATACTAGAGAAGGCCAATGAGGGCACTAGATCTCTTCAAAATGGAGTTATGATGGTTTGTTAGCCACCTTGTAGGTGCTGGGAACCAAACCTAGGTCCTCTGCAAGAGCAGTCAAGTGTTCTTAACCACTGAGAGCCATTCTCTCCAGCCTCTGATAATTTTTTTGATATAAAAAGTGAAAATTAATTTTCAAAGTATCACATCTCTAAAGAGATTTATGTTGCCATAGATTTATGTTGCCTTGCAATACAGCATCTGAGATGTCAGTATAATGTGTTTATCCAGTTAAAAAAACCATCAAGTGAAGAGAGCTTCAGAGAGGACCTAGAAAATTAGTACAAAAAGTATATATACTCCTCACTCCTATTTCCCATTTCTATCTGAAGAGCAGAAGATGGTTCTCTAGAGTTCTGAAGGTGTTCCTTGTCTCTGAAGGTTCTAGGACATTTCAAAGGAAACCTAGTGTTTGATTCAGAGAGAGGGAACTAAACAATAAGATGGTGTGGTGGCTCAGTTCTACAGTTTCAGCATTTGGGGGGCCAAGGCAGCAAGACTGCCGAGTTCCAGACCACCCTGAGCTCCTGAGACCCCAGTTTCAAAAAACAAAACAAGGGGGTAGAGAGATGACTTAGCAGTGAAGAGCATATGCTGTTCTTTTGGAGGGCCCAGGAGTTCGATTCCCAGCACTTACATTAGGTAGCCCACAACTGCCTCTATCTTCAGCTCCTGGGAGACTGGATGCCACTGGCCTCCAAGGGTACCCTCACTCACATGCACCTACCCACATATCTACACATAATTGAAAATAATATTTTTTTAAAGTCTGATGAAACACTGAGTCAACCATTCATCTTTAGTAAAGCAAACAAAACAAAAAACAAACAAAACAAAAAAAACATGAGAATTCTCACCCTGGGGTTTTATGCTAGAAAACAAAATATGTTGCCACCACTTAGCATATTTGCAAAAAAATTCTAACTTCATTCATCCTACCCAACATTACTTGTTTAAGGACAAAACTGTAGCTAAATTATTGAATCAGTATTATTGGTTTTATTTATTTATTTATTTTTGGTTTTTCGAGACAGGGTTTCTCTGTGTAGCTTTGGAGCCTATCCTGGCACTCCCTCTGGAGACCAGATCTGCCTGCCTCTGCCTCCCAAGTGCTAGGATTAAAGGTGTGCGCCACCAGCTATTATCTGTTTCTTAAAATATGTTTTTTTGTTTTGTTTTGTTTTGTTTTTTAAATAAAGTGGGGCTTGGTGTTGGTGGTACACACCTTTTTTTTTTTTTAAGATTTTATTTATTTATTATGTATACAACATTCTGCTTCCATGTATATCTGCACACCAGAAGAGGGCACCAGATCTCATAACTGATGGTTGTGAGCCACCATGTGGTTGCTGGGAATTGAACTTAGGACCTCTGGAAGAGCAGTCGTGCTCTTAACCTCTGAGCCATTTCTCCAGCCCAAATATGGGTTTTTAATGACCCTTTTAGAGGTAACAACTTAAAAACATCCAGGTATTAACAGAGATGTTAAAGCTCTGGATCAAGGGAAGATCAAGTACAAACCACAAGGATCTATCAATGGCGGTGACCTACAGTACTCAGATAGGTCTATGGTACCATCTCAAACATCAGCAAACAGTACAACTATCAACCTCCTAGGACCCCATGAAAAGTCTGGGGGGGGGGGAAATGTCTAATTTCTGAAGTATTTCCCCCAATTGTAGAGGACAGATGACTGAACAACAGCCTTCCTCTTGCTGTTCTGTACTTCCCAGGCTCCTCCCAAATTTAACACAATTACCCCTGAAAAGAGGAGGAAGGCAGCACCATCAACACCCAAGTTGCAGCCCAGTGCATATCAGGACAAAAGCCTTTACAGGAACAGAGTCAGCTCGAAGCCAGTACCTTCTACCATCCCTAACCCAGGTCAAAACCCACACATCATTTTAGTTTCCTGCCTCCTTTTCGGATCTTGCCATCAACACCTTCTACGCTAAAACTGTAATAAGTCAAACATTTCCTGCATGCCTACAAAATTTAAGAGGCAAACATTCCTCGAAGTTGAAAACAATTCTAAAATAAAATAAGAAAAAAACCAAAACATTAAAATATTAAAAAACTGGAGCTAGAGAGATGACTCAGTGGTTATTAAAAGCACTGACTGTTCTTCCACAAGTCCTGAGTTCAATTCCCAGCACCCACATAGTGGCTCACAATCACCTATAATGAGGTCTTGTGCCCTCTTCGGGCCTCCAGGGATAATGCAGGCAGAACAATGCGTACATAATAAATAAGTAAATAAATAAAATTTTTAAAAATATTTAAAAACTTGGCTGGGTATGGTGACCCATGTCTTTATTATTCAACACCCTGAGACAAAGGAAGGCAGATCTCTGAGTTCAAGGAGAGCAAGAGGTACACAAAGAAACCTAAACTTTGGGCCGGAGAGATAGCTCAGAGGTTAAGAGCACTGACTGCTCTTCCAGAGGTCCTGAGTTTAATTCCCAGCTACCACATGGTGGCTCACAGCTATGTATAAAGAGATCTTGTGCCCTCTTCTGGCAGACAGGCATCCATGCATGCAGAAGACTATATACAGAATAAATCTAAAAAACCTAAACCTTGTCTTGAGGGAGATTTTTAAAATTTTATTTTATAGTACAGCACAATGCAGCAATAACCAGTGATACTTCTAGCTCCCTGGGAGGCTGAGGCAGGGAAATAAATTTGAGTCCAGTCTAGGCAGCTTATTGACTTACAGAAAGAAAAAAAAAAGAATTCTAACAATAGAAAAGTTGTATAGGATGAAAAACTGATTCCTTACCATTCCCTTCTCAGAAGCAAGTACTCAAGCTTCAAGTGTACATATAAGAATATGTAAACTTGGGGCAAGAGATGGCTCAGCAGTTAGAGCACTCACTGCCTGCTCTTGCAGAGGATCTGGGTTTCATTCCCAGCACCAAGGCAGCTCACAACTGTAACTCTAGTTCCAGGGGATCTAATGCCCTCTGACCTCTACAGGTGCACACATGCTATACATGCAGGTAAAATACCTATATACATAGAGTATAAATATTTTAAATACTGAGAATATACATCTACATGTATTCTTCTAAGTTCTTGTAATCACTAAGATCAACAGACATATCTATTTCATTCCTACTTAGTTACATAATATTCCTTTTTTTGTATTGTTTTGTTTTTTTGTTTTTCAAGACAGGCTGTTCTGGAACAAGCTCTGTAGACCAGGCTGGCCTTGAACCCATAGAGATCTGCCTGCCTTTGTCTCCTGAGTCCTGGGATAGATTAAAGGAGAGCCCTGCTGCCGCTGCCACCACCACTGCCTGGCAAAAAAAGATATTTTTAACAAATACTTTTATATAGACACAGAGTATCTCTACAGACATTAGAAAACACTGTTAATAGTTATCTCCCAATAATCTGGGGGGCTCATTTGCTCTTACTACTGTTATACTACTTACTTAAGAGTTAGTCTCTGGGCTGGAGAGATGGCTCAGAGATTAAGAGCACTGACTACTCTCCCAGAGGACCCGAGTTCAGTTCCCAGCAACCACATGGTGGCTCACAACCATCTGTATGCAAGCATGCATGCAGATAACTGTATACACAATAAATAGATAAATAAATAATTAAAAAAAAGTCTCAGTATGAGCCCAGGCTGGCACTGAATTTATAATCCTTCTGCCTCAGTCTCTGAGTAGGATTATAGGCATGTACCATTAAGCCAAACTTTATTTTTAAAATGAATCCAAATTAACAAATATTAAGATCATTAATTATTCAACTGTACTTATCAGAAGATAAATGAGAAGCTGGGTGGTGGTGATGGTGGTAGTGGTGGTGCAGCACACCTTTAATCCCAGGAAGCAAAGAAAGGTAGGTCTCTGTGAGACTGAGATCAGCCTGGTCTACAGAGCTAGTTCCAGGACAGCTAGGGCTGTTATATAAAGAGAAACCTTGTCACCAAAAACAGAAGAAAAAAGAAAAATGAGAAAGTTAAAATTATATGAAGTATTTAATTCCATTAGACTGGAAACAAATTTCCACATTTTATAACTTTGTCTTGGAGAAGTACTAAGAGAACAGTTACTCATCCTTGAGATTAAATGTAAACTGATATATTACACTGGAGGGTAATTTGCAACCTATAAATGTAACATGCTCATATTCTTAGATATGACAACTCTACAAATTTATCCTATCAGTATATTCACATATAAATTAAATGACATGCACAGGACAGTCATTACATGTTTTACAGACATACAAATATATAAGAAAATCTGTAAATATAGAAATATCCAATATGACAATGACTAAAGTTGGTCATAGTATGCATACACATAATCCCAGCCCTTAGGAAGCTGAGGCAAGAGGATCACTCATTTAAGATCAGCCTAGGCTACAAAAGACCCTGTCTCAAAAAATTAAAAAAAAAAAAAAAAATGGGGGAAGACTGGGGAGATGGCTCTGTGGGTAGTGCACAAGCCATGCCAAGTGTGAGAACCTGAATTTAAGCTCCTAGAACCATATAAAAAGTTGGTTGTGGGGGCTAGAGAAACAGCTCAGTAGTTAAGTGAACTGGCTGCTCTTACAGAGGACAGATGTTTGATTCCCAGTATTTACACAAAAGCTCACAACTGCTTTTGTTTTTCGAGACAGGGTTTCTCTGTAGCTTTGGAGACTGTCCTGGAACTAGCTCTGTAGACCAGGCTAGCCTTGAACTCACAGAGATCCACCTGTCTCTCCCTCCCAGTGCTGGGATTAAAGGCATGTGCCACCACTGCTTGGCGTCAGCTCACAACTGTAGTTTCAGTTCCAGGGGCTTTGATGTCTTCAAGCCTCCATGGGCACCAATCACACAACTGGTATACATGTAGACACACATGCAGGCTAAACACCGATACACATAAAAGTGTTTTCTTTAAAGACGACAGACAGACAGACACACACACCCCTCCCACATACACAAAACAAGTAATCAAAAACCAACAAGACAAAATATACCAAAGCAAAACAAAAAGCACATACAAATCATGGAGTTTATTTTGTGTTGGCATGGGGCCTACCCTGAAGTGTAAATAAACATTTTTAAAAAGCTAGGTATGGGGGCTAGAGTGATGATTCAGTGGTTAAGAGAACAGACTGCCCTGGAAGATGACTTCAATTTGATTCCTACACTATGGCAAGATGGGAGGAATACAGGCAACTAACTCCCCACAGACTGTGGGCCAACTAAGCTGGCATATGCTGCTGTGAACAAAAGACCAAGTCTCAACTCAGTTATTCCTTGACCTCCATGTGTAAGCAGGGGTAGGGAGTGGGGTAAGCAGCAGACTTAAGAAACTATTAAAACAACCTTCTACCTATAGAAATTAGCTTGTATGCTCCTGAATGGACATACAATGAAGAGATAACTGATGACTTTGGGGAAGAGGACTGAATAGGACATGAGTACAGAAACATACGTTTAAGTATACATTCTTTAAGACCTCTAGAATTATGAACATGATTTAAATATTTTAAATAAATTATACTAAAATATGTATCATATACCTGAATTTTGCAAAATAGGTGGGTACACAGGAAAGTTATATTGTGTAACAAACTGGAAACATGTATATTACAGGACAAGCAGAATGCTTACCTAGCACTCTTGAGGCTCTGGGTTCAATCCTAAACACTTCAAAGATCAGTAATAATAATAAAACATTACATATTTGACCTTAACATTTTTCTATAAATCACAGCAATAATTCTTACCTAAACAATTGCTGAAAGTTTGGTTTAATGAAGTTTGCTTCAATATTTTGCCGTATGCAAATTATATGAGTTATCCCATGTTTCTGTAATATAGGTAGCTATAAAAAAAATGAGGAGAAATAATAGTTTAAAGTACAAAGCATCCCTTTACAATAATATATAAGTTTGAAAACAAAACAGACAAGACTCATATCTAATCCTTAAGTATAGATAATTAAAGCTAATTTAATGGTAATTGACGGATGTGATCCACAAGACAATTCAATGATTCAAGGTTAACACACAAAATGTTCTTCAAAGTTTAATATGCACACTATTTATGTTTAATTCTAGAACTTGATGAGGACTTAAAGATAACTTGTCAAGAAGCCAGTACTATTAACAATCATGGCTAAAACCATTGAGTGTTAGAATCATGAGAACCTAAGCTAGAAATCCCAGCTCTGCCAATGACCCTTGGCTCTGTGGCTCAATTCTGTTATGTGAGAATGGGAAAAAACATTACCCTTATCTGAGCAGTTATAATTATACAAGAAAACATATGTGTACTATACTTAGTTTAAAAGGCCATGAGATGGAAATCCCATGTCAGAGCATGACCTTCATATGAGAAAAAGAACCTGCTCACTCTGTCCTCATGACTATAAAGCAAAATCAGGTTCCCAGGAGCATACTGTGTGATGCAGGCACCACAATTGTAGGAGGCAAGTCATCCATGCCATGGTATTTTATCAGGGGTGTCCAAATTGACTAAGACAACAATATGGTTTTCAAAGTCTTTTTTTTTTTTTTTTTTTTTTTTTTTTTTTTTTTTTTTAGATTTATTTATTTGCCAGGTGTTGGTGGCGCATGCCTTTAATCCCAGAACTTGGGAGGCAGAGGCAGGCAGAACTCTGAGTTCGAGACCAGCATTGTCTACATATCGAGTTCCAGGACAGGACTCAAAACAATACAGAGAAACTATGTCTTGAAAACCAAAAAAAAAAAAAAAAAAAAAAAAAAAAAGATTGATTTATTTATTATTTTTTCTGTCTGCATGTATGCCTTCAGGTGATAAGAGGGCACCAGATCTCATTACAGATAGTTGTGTGCCACCATGTGGTTGCTGGGAATTGAACTCAGGACCTCTTGAAAGACCAGCTAGTATTCTTAACCATTCTAGACCTGGTTTTCATAGTCTTAAATGTTAACTTTGACAGCAAATTTTCTTGTGAGTATAGAGTTCAGTTATCTTTTATTTTCTGAGTATATCCTGTAATATAAGCAGGAGGAGTGTTTAATAGATTACTCAGAAGTGTTTGAAAGGATTAATAATAACCCAAGTTGTATATTCACAGGTATTCGACCTCCTATATTAATTCAACATTCATTCCTTAATTTACACTTAATGATCAAGACGGGGTTTCTGCATCTATTCAATTTTGCTAATTTGAAAAACTATAAGAGAACAAAGAAATCTGCTGTAACTGGGCATGGAGGCAGAAACCTTTAATTTCAGTCAGCACCTGGGAGGCAAAAGCAGACTGTACTGGGTGGTTGTATGTATCAACTGGATACAAGCTAAAGAGGAAGGAGCCTCAGATGAGGAAAGGCCTCCTTGAGATCCAGCTGTAAGGCATTTTCATATTTAGTGATCTACGAGGAAGGACCCAGCCAATGGTGAGTAGTACCATTCCTAGGCTACTGGTCCTGGGTTCTATAAAGTGGGCTAAGCAAGCCATGGAAATCAAGCCAGTAAGCAGCTCCCCTCCATGGCCTCTGCATCAGCTCTTGCCTCTAGGATCCTGCCCTGTTGGGAGTTCCTGTCCTGACTTCCTTCAGTGATAAACAGCAACTGAAGTGTAAGCCCTTTCCTCCCCAACTTGCCTTTTTGTCATGGTGCTACATCAGAACAATAGAAACCCTAACTAAAACACAGGTAGTGGATCGGAGTGGGTCAGCCTGGTCTACATAGCAAGTTCCAGGCCAGCTAGAGTTACATAGTGAGACCCTGTCTCAAACAACAACAAAAAGCAAAGCAAAGCAAAAAAATCTCCCTTAAAAGCTCTGAAGGCACATTCAACTAAGTAAGGCAAACCTTATCAGAAAGAAATTCTAATATAACAGCAAAAAAAAAATTATCTGTACCTTTCAGCATCATAAAAAGAAATAGATAACTGGATACCAAAGCACCTGAATTTATCTTTTATTTCAATGGTGTCTGAATGCAGTAAATAAATCTTGAAAAAGGAATTTATCTCTCTAGGTTTCTTTATCTTCATTATTACTTTTTACTGTTGAAAGGTACTTTTTGGGGGCTGGAGAGATGGCTCAGAGGTTAAGAGCACCGACTGCTATTCCAGAGATCCTGAGTTCAATTCCCAGCAACCACATGGTGGCTCATAACCGTCTGTAATGAGATCTGATGCCCTCTTCTGGTGTGCAGATATACATGGAAGCAGAATGCTGTATACATAATAAATAAATAAAATCTTTAAAAAAAGAAAGGTACTTTTTGGGGAGGTGGTATGAGAAGAAATTTGGGCTATATTAAGCAAAAACACAAGACATCATGAGAAAAATAAATTATAAAAACTCGCTTATAATTTGTGGTGAAACACTCCAAAACTTTTTTTTTTTTTTTTTTTTTTTTTGAGACAGGGTTTCTTTATGTAGTCTTGGCTGTCGTGGAACTTGCTCTGTAGACCAGGCTGGCCTTGAACTCACAGAGATCCACCTGTCTCTGTATCCCAGTGCTGGGATTAAAGGTGTGCACTATCACTGCCCTGCTCACATCAAAACTATAAATGGTCCAGAAAATTTGGAAGTAGGTACAAGTAGTATGAACACAGTTGTATATAATAGTCCCCAGTATAAAACTCTATTAAAAACGTTCCAAATAAAAAGTTGGTTTACTAAAGCCTCTTGGAGAGCCTAAGCTAAAGTTCATACCTTGCTTTTCATAGCAGAAGAGTATGGGCCTAAGAACAATCCAGGCAAAACTTCCTAGAGAAAAAAAATATATATATGTAAAGTTTAAGCCTACAGCAAATACATACCATATAACTGTGTGTGAAGGGGTTTTGCAATATTCTGTTTAAAACTTTATTCAGGGAGCATTTTGTTGTAGTTTAAAAAATGCCTTGAATAGAAGTCACACCATACAACAGGACTCACAAAGGAGGTTTATTGGAAGAGGAGAAGGGGCAGAAAAAGGAGCATAGGTGGGAGCAGAGACTGGTCCCTGGGGACAGGAGTGGTGGAAGAGAGAGAGAAAGAGAGAAGAGATAAAGATGGGAGGTGGTCAGGGCCCTTTTAAAAGGAAACCATAGTGAATGTGCAACAGGTAGTGGTCCTTAGTGGCTGCAGGTGAGGGCATATCCTGTCAGAATCCCCAGGGCAGGCCAGTACAGATGCCTGAATACTAACACATTTCCCAGCCACATTTAGCAAACTGGTATGAGAAACACAGGTGTGCCTTTATAAATTCAAGTGAGATGTTACAAATTTAAATTTTATTCTAAAAAGTCAGGTATCTGAGATCCTATAGTGCTTTTTGTAAGTAGGCTGGACAGAATCAGCACATTGTATTATTGATGTTCACATTAACAAAACCTTTCTAGGTTCTACCCTGCTACAGCTTAAAAATAAAACAGGAATAAAGAAAATCCTCCCTTTAGAATTATACTTCCACTAACTTTTTATTTGGTGAAAACAAAAGTAATACAAGAGCCAGGTATAGTGGGATATATCTATAATCCCAGCACACAGGAGACTTTGACAGTCTGGGTTACATAGTAAGTTCTAGGCCAGCATTTTACAAACATGAATTACATTTTACTTATATTTACATTCCCCATAGCATCAAGTTAGTTCTCATTTGTACTCACATTTAGTTAAAAGTTTAAAAGGGAGGTTTATTTTCTCTCTCTCCTTTTTATGAGGCAGAGTTGGGGTTTGATAAATCATGAGGGTTGGGAGAAACTCAGAAGGAAAGCTAAGACACTTGAGCAGCCAGTGCTTTTAAGCACAGAGCCATCTCTCCAGCCTCAAGCATTTCATCTTTTTAAGTGAAAAAAGCAGTGTCTCCTTAAGCACATCCATATATTGTTCTGACCTTGAATCTAATCCAAGAGAGATAAAGAATTCACTTCACATACTAAAAATGTTATTGACACAAATAGCATGTATTTACCATGTGATATTCTAATGCATATTTGTTATATAATATTCATAACTAGATAAGTATGACAAATCTATAGATCATGAGCCAGCAGGTCTCCTTTGTGAAGTGTTATTTAATAAAAGGGGGGCGGGGTTGTCTTGAATAAATTAAAAGCTGTCCTACCTGCATCTCCCGTCTCATAGGATAAGTCCACTCCTTGAAAAGGAAAACAAAAAAATAAAAATAAATATGAAAAATATCATGGTCTAGTAAGATGACTCAAGTCAGATAATCTAAATTTGATCCTTGGAAACCAGGTGATAAGAGACCGAAATCCTGAAAATTATTCTCTAACCTCCAAATGCTTCCTAAGCATTCCAGGACACAACTCAAGCACACATACACACAAAATATAAAAATAAACACAAACTTTATATAACAATAAAACACAAAGATGTGACCAAAAAATTAGATTCACAGCCAGCAAATAGCAAGCCTGTATGTAAAAGGTGCTTGCCACATACGAGCCTGACTGAGGGAAGTCAAGGCAGGAACTCAAACCAGATGGGAACTGGGAAGCAGGAGCTGATGCAGAGCCTGTTGAGGAGTGCTGCTTATTGGCTTGCTCCTCACAGTTTGCTCACTGTGCTTTCTCAGATAAGTATGGCTTGTGTCAAGCTGATATAAAATTAGCAGCAAAGTACCTTAACTATCAGTGCTACAAGCTCAGAAAATCCATGTTTTTCAAGCACAAAAAAACAGAAGGCAATGCCATATAAAAGCATCTCTGGAAAGGTGGCTCAACCATCAGGACCTGAGCTCTGATTCCAGTGCTCGTGTCACAGGCCAGGAAACCCAAAATCCATGTAACTCCAGCTCTGAGGTAGGCAGACACAGAAAGACTGCTTGGGTTTCCTGGTTTCCAGCTTTGCCAAGAAAACATGAGCCCCAGACTCAGGCAGAGACTGTGTGCATACACATGCATATCCATTTATGCACACAGGTAAGATTTTATAAATTATAAAGATTTCTTCCAAGATGGGCATAGTAATGCACACCTTTAATCCCAGCACTCTGGAGACAGAGGCAGGTGGATCTCAATGAGTTCGAGGCCAGCCAGGACTGCATAGTAAGATCCTGTCTCAAAAAAAAAAACCCAAACAAAAAATCCCCAAACTGCCCCCCAACATATTATTTTTAACTCAAACTCCCAGTGGCCAACAGCAACACAGGCCAAAACATCAACATGGCCTCTGGGGCAATATAGGTCAAGAACAACAACATACAGAACCCAGCCTAATGAACAGCAACATGGCCCACTGACATCAACAGCACAGGCATGGACATCTGCATGGCCTTTGGTAAGTCCCTGCACATCCAGACTCCCCCCTCATTGGCAGCACAGACAACAGACATCTGTATGGCCCTCAGTGGTAACACGAAGTCTTCTGTCACACCTGTCATCACTATAGAATCTCTAGTTAGCCTCTTTCTACTGCACGTGCACCTCTCTGTCTCTCCATCTTACATTTCTTCCTCATAATGACACTGGAAACTACAGTGTGTCACACAGCACATCATTTTGCCCCAACAGCTTTACATGCAAATATGACTACAAGTCCTTGGTCTGGTTCAAGGTCTCTGGTTTCTGTTACACCATAAATATTGGACCATTGCCAGAACTCATTATGGATACTCTGCTGTTGCCCAGAGTCAAGGCAATCCTACTCTACTTTTGTGCTTATAGCCTGCAAGCAATACCACTGTCTCCCCTCACATCTCTAAAAAGGGCAGGCTGCTCTAAGCTGGGGACAGCCAGAAGGCCCAGGACCACACCATTCAGTGATGACATCTGGTTCTGTAGGACTGGCTCCTCCATGTGCTCCAGAAGCTTGTAGATGGAGATGTTGAGGTGAACCAACTCAAAGTGCTGGATCTGGGTCTTCATGGCAGCAGAGTTGGGTCAGCCTTTGAGGGGCTTCCACCACCCTTAAGGGCCTCCAAAAAAATTCATTTATTTATTTATTTACTTTTTTGTTTTGTTTTGAGACAAGGTTTCTCTGTGTGGCCCTGGTTATCCTGGAACCCACTCTATAGACCAGGCTGGCCTGGAATGCAGAGACCCACCTGAGCCTGCCTCTCCATTGAGGGGATTAAAGACATGTGTTACCAGGCCTGGCTATGGAGATAAATCTCGAAGATGTATTTATCAACTTTATGTATAAGGGTGTCTTGTCTGTGTGTATACTTGCACACCAGAAGAAGGCATCAGATTCCATGGGACTATAGTTATAAATGGCTGTGAGCCACCATGAGGGTGTTGGGAATTGAACTCAGGCCCTCTGAAAGAGCAGCCAGTGTTCTGAACTGCTGCTGAGCCATCCCTCCAGCCCCAAAGACCAATTTTATAAGCAGACCCTTATTAAAAAAAACCTTGAAAGAATGTTTGCACTGTGGTGGTGGCTCAAGCCTTTAATCCCAGCACTCAGGAGGCAAAGGCAGGCCGATCTCTATAAGTTCAAAAGAGAACAGCTTGGTCTACAAGAGCTAGTTCTAGGACAGCCTCCAAAGCCACAGAGAAAGCCTGCCTAAGAGAACAGTTGCTGTATAAACAAAACAAAACAACCTGGAGGTGGTGGCGCATATTTCCAATCCCAGCATTTGGGAGGTAGAGGCAAGCAGGGCTCTACGAGTTCCAGGCCAGCCTGGTCTACGGAACTAGTTCCAGACTGCCAATGCTTACACTGAGATACCCTCGAAGAACAAAATCAAGACAAACAAAAATCACTATCATTGTGTCTTTTTCATTTACATTTCTATTTTAGACAGATTTTTTGTTACCATCCAGGTAAATGAAAACCTGACCCCACCCCTTTGGGACCTGGCAGAATACTACACCCTTGCACGCATGGCAGTCACCCCTGACTCTCTAAGCAGCCACAAAAGGTCTGTTTGAAAGACAAGCTCCACCTACTTTCTCTTCTTTCTTTAGTTTCTCTGAAGAGGCAAGTTACTATCTCTCTTTCACACCCCCCCTCCTCTTTGATTATTCGAGACAGGGTTTCTCTGTATTGCTTTGAAGGGTTGCCCTGGCACTGGCTCTGTAGACCAGGTTGGCCTTGAACTCACAGAGATCCACCTGCCTCTGCCTCCCAAGTGCTGGGATTAAAAATGTGAGCCACCAATGCTTGGCCCCTTTCCCACTCTTTTGCCTTTCCCCCAAAAAAAGTTCTGCTGCAGCAGGGTGGTGGTGGCATACACTTTTAGTTCCAGCACTGGGGAGGCAGAGGCAGGTAGATCTCTGTGAGTTCCAGCCTGGTCTACAAGAGCTAGTTCCAGGGCAGCTTCCAAAGCCAGAGAAACCCTTTCTCAACATGTGCCCCCCTCAAAAACAAAAAAGCTCTGCCGCATTTTTTTTTTCAAGACAAGTTTCAGGCCACTCTGGCTACACAAGACCTTGTCTTAAAATTAAAAATCGTTTTTAAAAAAGTAGCCAGGTTTGATGGTGCACACCTTTAATACCAGTACTCAGGAGACTGAGACTAGTGGACCTCTTTGAGTTTAAGGCCAGACTGCTGCACACACATACAGTGTTCCAGGACAGTCAGAGCAACAAAGAAACCACCTCTCAAAAAACAACCACAACAAAACAAACACAAAAAAGTAAACGTTAAATGAAGACATTAAATAGAACTGAGTATTTGGTATAAACTCAATCCAAAATAGGGCAATTACCTTTTTGAGACAGGGTCTCATGGAACTCAACCTGGCTGAAAACTTGCTATACAATCGAGACTGTCTTGAACTACACATCTTTCTCCTTCCACCTCCCAAGTATTGGAAATATATGAGTTTGGCAGCCATGCCCTGGCCCAAATACCTTAGGTGGGACTAAAGAGTGCACACGTTTAATCCCATTACTTGGGATGTGGAGGCATCTTTGTGAGTTTGAGGCCAGCCTGGTCTACATAGTGAGTTCCAGGGCAGCCAGGGCAATGTAGACAGACCTAGTTTCAGAACACAAACAAAACTCTACAAAGTGTCACAGCTAAGAATCCTTGTCTTGTTCCCAACAACATCTAGTGAACGCCAAGTTTATTGTTTTTGATACCATAAAATATTTAAAGCAGAGGAAAAAATAAATGTCTGCAAATGTCAGGTAAAGAAAAATCAAGGTGAGTTGAAAGAACCCTGAATTACGGAATCCGGAGGTCAAGGTATTTTGCTCTCAACAGTAACTTTCCTCTAAGGGCAAGATTTATGATTAAAAGTTTTCAAATTCAAAGAAGCTAGCTTTGTGACTTGTTTTTTTCTGTTGGATTTTTTTTTTTTTTTTTGACTTGGGGAACTATTAAGAGGGTGCAATTCCAGAGTTCACGCCTCCGGTCTATTCCACACGTGGGGCCAGGTGTCTCGCATGTAAAGCCCAGATTAAAAACAACTCCACAGCGTGTTGCTTTGGCAATCAAAAACGAGGCTGTCTTCAATAGATCCTCAACACCGAGGCGAGAGGCCAGGGGTACTCTTCAGGTTAGGTTCGCCACCAGGACCTCACGGATGCCCCCCAGGGGAAAGGGAAGCGTCTACGACGGTTGGGCCAGGGTCGCGGCACGGCCGAAGTCCTGGGGGCGGCCTTCGGCGGGGCGGGCACTCACCTCGGCGTAGTCTTTGCACTGTGGGAGCGAAGGAAACTCCAGCTTCACGTCCTCCATGGTCCCAGGGCCCCGGCGGGTGGGCGCGGCGCGAGAGACAGGCGTGCGCCCG